TTCAGACCGGTCTGAGACGGACAACAGAACCACAGCCGGTTCAGACCGGTCTGAGACGGACAACAGAACCACAGCCGGTTCAGACCGGTCTGAGACGGACATCTATCTGAAGATGGATCAATAGGGGAAATTGATTGACCTGAACGAGGCAACGCTGTCGATGACTCTCTCCAGACCCGTCTCCCTATTGCCCTGAAAAAGACCACATGACAGGTCAAAGACCCAAAAACCAAAGACCGGAAATGAGCTCGTAAACCAAAAGTTACGCACGGAGGGAAAGTTACGAGGGGAACTATGGTTCTATGAATCATAATGGCTGCCAGAGAGTGGTGCTGAAAGGAGAACATGTTCCCTTTGTGCAGCTGGAATAATTAAATCAACAGAGTCACAGCAGTAACATCTGAATGACACTCAGTAGCCATATATGTTGGCGTCATCCACGGCTCTGTTGCTACAAAATCTTCTCACGGAAGAAATGATTCTGAGTGACTGAGAATCTCCTGCAATCACCTGGGATTCATAGAACTGTAGTTACATTCGCCACTTCCATTCCATTTCATCCCTACTGACCACCAGAGGGAGCTGTTGAAAGAACTGAATGACTAAAACCAACCATGTCACATATTTCACTGAGAGGGCCCGGCTGAACCGCGTAAAAGGACCGCAGCCAATGAGAGGCACCCATGTTGACACTGCAGAACCTGGTGAATGTGTTTGGAGAAGCTCATGATGCTGCAGCACATATGGCCTCTAGCATTTTGCGCTGGTTATCAGCGCAAAGGCCTGACTGTTGGTTTAATCACTCAAACTGCGCTAAGAGAACATTCAGCGTGTTCAGCACTGCCCTCTGGTGGTCAGTCGGAATGAAAAAGACTTCAGTCCTCACAGGTTCCTAACTGTCCTCACATTCTCAGGCAGAGCTTTGACCAGCTCGCTGTGAGCCATGGGTCTGATGGAGAGCTGGTGGACGATTTCTCTCCTGACCTCCTCCAGAGGGTCCACCTGGCCCACGCCCGGAACATAACGCTCACCTGGGAGAGATGACATACTGCAGGTAGAGCTCTAGTGAAGGCTGCACCGTCTGCTGACCTTCTGCGCTAGACTCACCCACAACCATGATGATGAGGTGCAGCATCTCCTCGATCAAGGTGTTCTGCTGAGCCAGGTCCTGCAGAGAGGATGACATCCAACCATCAGAACCCAACGGTTCTGGTCTAAGTATCTCCGGTCATAAGGAGCACGTACAGAGAAGGTTCAGACCTTATTGGCCTCTCTGTATCTCTTCCTGATGTCAACAGAGCTGAAGATGTGGAAGAGTTCAAAGCGGCTCAGAACGACCATCAGGAAGTGGTTGGGATCCATCATGGAGGCCCCCACCTGCAGCAACATAGCAGCACCTGTTAGCGGAATCCCAGTAGAACCTTAGCTGGTCCCAGCTTGAGTCCAGAGTACCTGCAGCATCATGATGTCCTTGTCGAACATCTCCACTCTGCACTTCACGTTGTGGTAGTAGTAGATCTGCAACACAGCAACACCAAGAGGTTCTAAGAGGCCGGTACTGATCCGGGTTCTGGTCCGAACACAAAGACTCACCTGGTTGATCAGGGAGAAGCCGTTCCTCCTCCACATCCCAGCATGCACCTGTGCGCAGAGCACCAGGCAGCGCAGAGGCAGCTCTATGAGGAGGTGGGGGCTAAGCTCACCCTGGGGGGGAGACAAGGAGTCAGTATCCGGATTGCTCAGTTAGTCAGCTGACCTCCCCATCATACTGACCAGTGGCAGCTGCTCGGGGAACCGAGACGCCACCTCTGTCCTGCTGAGAAGAACGTGGAGCCCTGAGAGGAGAAAAGGAGGAGAACATGAGAATAGGAGGAGAACATGAGGAGGAGAGCAGGACGTTCCCCTTTAGATCCTGTTACCTGCCAGCATTCTGCACACAGGCAGGTGGATGGACACCTTATCCTGGGACACCTGGTACCTGAAGGTGTCCAGGCTGTGACCCGCTAGGCTCAAGCTGATTGGCTGCTCGCCATCAGACAGGCCGCCGTGGCACTGATGGAGCGCGCTCAAACACTTCTTATAGGCCCCGATCAGAACATGCTCCTGAAACCCAAACAGAACCAGCCAATGATTGGTTCTGGAGCTCCAGAACATCATGTGACCGCTAGCTGTTAGCTCTGCCGGCTCACGTCAGTGGAGCACCACTCCTGGATCATGGAGATGATGTTGGTCAGCTTCATCTGCAGGGTGAACGCCGCCTCCCACTCAGGCTCCATCTCGATGTGCTGGCCCACCTGTCTCACCACCGGGTCCATGCCCTGTCCGAGACACAGACACCTGGACTCAGACAAGCGGGCCAGAGCGGGAGGGGAAGCCCTGACGGCGCAGCCAACGTACCTGCATGCACCTCAGCAGGTCCAGAAAGGCGTCAAAGCCGTCCAGGAACTTCAGCCTGAGCTGGTCGCTCCACTCAGGGGGCGGACTGATCAGGACGTACCTGCAAACGCAGTAAAGGTTCAAACTGGGAGGACCCGTCTGGTACCGGGAACCCATGATGATCTGGTTCTTACTTGAGGTCTCCAATGAGGCTCTGGACCCGGCCGAACTTGAAGGCCTGCTGGGCAGTGTAGCGGTCGAACTGGAAGCGTCCCTGAGGGTCTCTGTGACGTAGCTGGTCCACAAAGGTTCTGATGATGGTCATCATCAGGTTCTCCTCCACCATCAGCATCCGGGCCTGCAGGCTCACACAGAAACAAGGCTGGGTTTGTAAACTGGACCTTAGATGGACTACCTGAGCTTCAGCTGCAGCCTGATCCAGCTCCTGAGCCTCTGACACCGAGCTCAGACCAGGAGGGCAGAACCAGCCTGGGTCAGCTCCACCTCCTTCCTCGAAGGCATTTAAAGAATTCTCTGGGGTTCTGGACCTTGTTTGGACCCGACCTGGACCTGGTTTCAGATGCAGTCAGTGACAGGGCTGCCTACTTCCTGTTAAGGGGGTTACGCACCAACACCATACTAGCT